ACCCTTCACAGAGTAATAAACCATTAAAACACACAGCTAGAAACAGGAATACAAACAAGTCCAGTCTAACTAATGCTAAATGGCTGTTATACATTACACAACGTAGACACAATCAGCAAAAAGCTGCTACACAAAAATYGAAGATCAGGGGATTTTAGTGAAACACATGAGAAAACCCTTTCAGCCATACTTTTAACAATAGAAATATAATTTAAAGTTWAAATGGTTCATAAACGTTACATGTATGTCTGAAGTGGCATTTTGATTTATTTTATGGTTTTTATACTTTCTCCATCTATGTTTTTATAAATATTTCCATACAATGTTCATTTGATAGGGAATTATGTCACACATTAACTTTTGAGCTAAAATGTTTGAATCTTTTTCAAATTATTTTTATTCTCACAACTCTTTAGGTACATAAATTATACATCAACATGTAGATATTTGCCTATTTTCACCCAGGATCTAACGAAAATGCAGAATTTACACCCAAGTTTTGCTAATTGTTTATTTTCAGTACCGAACATGTCTTTAGAAGCTGTTATGTGGTTTACAAAAAATAAAAATAAAAAAATCACAGAAACATAAAAACTAACATGATATGAGGGTTTTGTTGCTCTGGTTGAAAATGTTCTAAAATCTGTTAGTTTTCACACAACGACTTGGCTTGAGCAGGGAGTGACAGGTACAGTATGTAGTTACTATAGTGACCATAATGAGGCATTGGCAGCATTTTAAACATTTTAATCTAGATTCTGTTTACACTTCGTCACACATCAAAACGTATGCATGATTTCCTCAGGTTAAATTATTACTGTTCTGTTGGAAATTTGTGCAGTGTCCACAATTCCACCCTTCAGAAATGTTCCAGTTTGTTATTATTATTATTATTATTATTATTATTATTATTACTATTAGTAGTAGTAGTAGTAGTAGTAGTAGTAGTAGTAGTAGTAGTAGTAGTAGTAGTAGTAGTAGTAGTAGTAGTAGTAGTAGTAGTAGTAGTAGTAGTAGTAGTAGTAGTAGTAGCAGTATTTAGAAGTCAGCTGTGTTTGTGATTAGTCGTCTATCACCCTACACCACATTTTGTCTAAGGTTTTTATTTTAGTTTATTTAATAATTTCTTTAAAATCAACTTAAATTCAACAACAAACAAAAAATACAAATCACAATTTAAATGAAAGGCGGCAGAAGAAGAAAAATTCTTATAATATCTGCTCCTTTTTCTCCACAAAAGATTTTCTATCAAAAATTATCTACAGATTACAAAATAGAAAAGAAAGAAAAATAATAAAACTTTAAATCCTTGAACAACAACTCATACATTTAAATATTAACCTTTTATCATTCTCTTAAACATGCATATTGATGTGGCATTTTTAATGTCATTTTCCAGATTATTCCATAATTTAATTCCTTGGACTGAAGTACTCTGTTCCTTTAAACCGGTTCTAACTTTAGGTCTTACAAACATTTCTACCCCCTTGAGATTATAACTCTCCTTTAATAAAATATGATTGGATGTTTGGAGGTAATGTGATTTTATGAGCCTTATACATGACTGATAAAATAACATAATCAACCCAATCATATTAAATGATGGAACAATGTATTTGACAGGTGATAGTAATGCTTTCTAATTCTTACAGCTTTTTTCTGTGAAATAAAAGTAGGATTTGTAATTGTTTTACATGCTTTTCCCCAAACATCAATACAGTAGATCAAGAGTGGAACAATTATTGCATTATATAATATAAACAGAGCTTTATCATAAATCCTTAGGTCACTAAGCTGTGGTGACCGTGTTGAATTAGTATTCCATAAGTGAATCAGTTGTAGCGCTACATCCAGTGATTATTTCCTGAAAGTATCACTAAAATCTGGTCATGTTCTTTTGCCAACTGCACCACAGGCAAAGGCATGAGAATATATGACCCATCACATTGAAACGAGGATTAAGTCCAAAAGTGGAATGTGGAGAAATAAGCAGATTATAGGGTTTAGATTTAAACGTGTGCAAAAATTTGTCAAAACATAATGAATTAAAGAGTAACTTACCCCAAAATTAATTTTTTTAGCTGATAAATTGTCTAGAATGTGTCTAAAATGTTATATAGTACTGTTTCTGTGCTGATTTTGATGTTTTTGTGCGTATTTGTTCAAAT